TCGCTAAATTTTGGTATTGTAAAAAGTTGTTCTGTGTCGAAAATGTAGTCAAATTAGTGCAAAGAGAAGAGGAGACCTGGGGTGTAAGTGAGTAAGTCGACGCCTACTCACGATTCCTTTAATCAAGAAAAATCCGATCGTATAAAGTTTTAAAATTTCCTGAATTTAAACACGTTTTATCTTCGTTTAAAAAAAGAAAAACAACTTTCAAAGTGACGTATAGGTAACCACCCCTCCCCTTGTTTCGTGTACTTTTTATGATCAGTGAATATTTATATCGTTAAGCTCCTATCTCAGCATGTAGAAAAGGATTCAAACTCCGATTCCATGCCTCTCGTAAGTACATATTTCAAGAGTCCCTTTACACTGAGAGTTAAAACAGCCCCCCCCCCCCTCGTGGTGTCACAAACGGGAATAAAGATTACACAAATTGATATGTAGTTTTTCGTAATCTTTGATCAGCTCATTCTCAAATTCCTTTCTCCATTCCTTCTCTCATTCCACTTCTTCCTTGCCCAACTCGTAATTCTCCAGTCCATTCCAGTTTATAATCTTTGCAATTGGTGAAAATGTAATTTTTATTCCTGTTTGTGACACTGTGGAGGCCTAAAATACGGGAACCGCTCAGAAATGGATTCACATTGTCCTAACTCTCAATATGAAGGGACTCTACATTTTTCCAGCTGCGTGTGTACGTGCGCTGTGCGACATCGTTTTCATCATTTATTGCGTAAAGCTGAAGTGTGATAGAGGAAAGGCATGTTATAGTTTATCGAAGAGCAAAGCTGCACATAAAAATTAGAGCTTCGTTCGGTAGTTACTACGACCGATAGTTCGTATTGCGGGAGGAAGGCCTTGGACGTCATTAGACGTGTAATCCGTAAACGGTCTTTGGATGTGTGTGACATGGATAAGATAAAATTCGGAAACTGGCCTCTTCAATCTTTATACCGGCTCATTACTGATAAAAATTCTCGCTTTGCGTTTCCTTTTGTAGTAATACGTGGAGTAGTGGTGTGATTCACTTTTAGCCCGGCTAGTTTCTTTATGATATATCGAGATCTGCCATTTAAACCTATGGAAAAGGATCGATAATCAGGGTGTTCGCAACGAACGCCTTAAAAATCGATTCTTTACCATAGCTTTCAATGGAGAAGCACCGATAATCGATCATTCACGCTTCGCCATTGCTCCAAACTTTGTGCAGATCCTAGTGCTACCGTACGCAGCAATAACACCGTATATCTTGATTCTTGATTTTGCACATTTTTCGCAGGAGAACTGTTATATTACAAGGAAATAGCTGCGAACAGTCATCCTTGGTATGTTCAGAATAAGTCTGCTACACCTTCGGCAAGCTGTAATAAAAATATCTAGCATCGATGTGTCTAGGTTTTCTTCAAATAGAGCATTTTTTTTGAAACTTTTTACAAAGAGAAACGAACGATAGGAAAAGTCACCAGGTCGGCCCTCTCAGTGACACTAACTCGTGTTCGGGACGAATAAATTAAAAAGTAGATATCTCTCACGTAACAAATGACCTTGAAATCGACGCAGTCCATTCCAGGACGGATGTGCGAGGTTTTCCTTCTAAAAAAGTAGAGTACCTTCATTTTCTGAGTATGGACACTAGGCTTCATGGCGATCCTCCAGAACCAAGAAAATGGCAGCAACCTTGGATGAAAGGGATTGTTGCGAACCTTAGATTCTTATCTCTTGCTGCACTTCTTGCCAACCTTACCCTCGCTGAGGTTTAGAATGGAAAGATCTAATGCACAAAATTGGTCTAAAAACTTGGGTAAATACGCCCAACTCTATATTTTGAGTTAAGTTCACGTTGATAGTAGTAGCTAAACTTAATTTTTTGTCATTTTGAACAATTTGTATGCAACGTACGCAATTTTTTTTTCGTTTTGTTTCTAAGAGCTCCATGAAGTTTTTGGCCGAGCCAATCAGAAGTGGATCATCCAGTGATCATTCCCTGGCCGATTCTAGGGCCCAAAAATGGCGGACGCTGCAAGTAAATGTAAATACAAAATGACTCAAAATGTAGTTTTATCTGTTTATCGCAATGAGAACTTTACTAAGCTGCATAATTACGACGCATTTACATGGTTTAACGGCTAATCGTGTGCTATTTTTGAAGAAAATAATCTTAGATATATCAAGGTTGGCAGCAATTGCGGTTTAGGATAACCATCTAAAGTTGGCAATGACCCCTCTCTCATCCTCAAAAACCAAAGATAAAGCGCCGCCATTTTTGGGCCATATGTCCTCCATGAGGCCCAGTGTTCATACTCTCCCTATAAATGTACTCTACCTTTGAAGATCTTCTAGTCCACGTTGTCATTGGTCTGAGGTGATGAATAGCGCAGGGCATAAAATGCTAATTCGATGTCGGCAGTATTCGTCATCTTCACCTGATGAGAGTCGTATTCAACTTCTGCCATCGGAGAAGGCGCTAGTCGTTCGATTGTCGAATCGATCCTCCGATCGATTAATAGCATCGCTAGGATCTGGATTCATCGATGAAGGCTACCCGATAATGATAGAACGGTCGATCTGATTTCAGGATCAAATTGATGGGTTCGTTTTACAGAGCCCAGGTGCGTTCTCTAGAAAATATGTCGATTCATAAAATGAAAAACAGGAACATATCCAATACTAGGAAAAACTCGGCTCTGACTTTGAGACATTTTCCAGAAACAAACTCGGACCATGCTGTGATTGATTTGTTTCGATTGAGAATGGAATCTGTCTTCCTGTTTGTGAACAGGAGCAGACGTAAGGAGAAATAATCGTCCATTCAGGGTTATGCCTTAAAAACTCCTTGAATTTTTTTCTTTTCGAATTTTCAAGTCCTTTAATTTTACACTCAAATAAGGATTGCGCAGTCCGCATCTCATATACATGCTTTTTCACGTATAGGTAGTAGATAAGAGAGGTAGAGAGGGTATCCCCTCAATGGAGATGTTGCATGTGTGAGGGGTTTGCGATTTGGCTGTTGTTTCATTTGTAAAAGTTCGCGAGAAACACGATGGTGCCACTGGTTTTCTCTGAAATCAACTCCCAAGCGCAAAAAAAGCTCTCAAAGTGAGGCCAAAATAGAGGGGATATCCCGCCCTACCCTGAGAGTCCACCTCTACATCAAGATGAACTCTCCATGCAAAGATAGGGAGCAAATACATTGACAGGGCTGCCACTTCATTTGGGGACTCCAAAACTGAAAACACGGCAACCCTGCTAATGTATTCGCTCCCTACCTTTGCATGGAGAGTTTGTTTTGATGTAGAGGTGGACTCTCAGGGTAGGGCGGGATATCCCCTCCATTTTGGCTTCACTTTGAGAGCTTTTTTTGCGCTTGGGAGTTGATCTCAGAGAAAACCAGTGGCACCATCGTGTTTCTCGCGAATTTTTACATAAGAAACAGCAGTCAAATCGCAAATCCCTCACACACGCAACATCTCCATTGCGGCCTCAACTTTGAGGGCTTTTTTTGAGCTTCGGAGTTCATTTCAGAGAAAATCAGTAGCACCATCGTGTTTCTCGCGAAATTTTACATCGGAGTCAGCATATTAATCGCAAACTTCTGACACATGCAAGAGCTTATTACAAGTGACGAAAGGCGAAACTCTTTGTCGAAAATATCCTTGGTGCCATCTTCGTGCCTTGCAACCAAAATCGTTCCTCCGGGTCGGGATTTCGGGAGCTCGCGGCAGGTGACGCTGAGACGTTTCGGCCCCCGGGTCCGAGTTTAAAAATAATCGAAAACGCACGTGACCAAAGGTACTTAACCCTCCTCCCGTGCCAAACACTGTTGCCGCTCACATCGATTTCAGCCGAAGGACCATGGCTGAAGTCGATCAAAGCGAAGACGTGATAAGTTCGGTTCACACCGAGCTCTCAGTTTTTATGTTCAGGGAACCGAAATTCGGCAGAGGCGGATCCAGCAATTTGGCAACACCGGATCTTCTGCATTTAAACCTATGCTAAATAATCGATTCTTGCCGGAGCACCTCGTTCTCCAAGAAGCGATACATTTCCATAGGTTTAAATGCAGGAAAGACTATGTTGCCGATTTTCTGGATCCGCCAATGAAATTCGGTCCCTTTCACCGAAAACGTCGGCTGATCCTGAATCGAAAAACTGAAGTGTTCAATTTAAACCGAAGTTTTTCTCTCAGTGCATCTCCGATTGCGACTTTGCGAGTCTCCTCTCATGTTTTATTTGCTTTAAGAAAAGAAGAAAAACCCCCAAAAATTGAACTAGAAATTCCCTGTGTAATTTTTCCTCTTTATCACGTAAGTTCACGAAACACCTCATTGAAGTGCATCGATCGGGTTCCTTTTACTTAAATTAACCATGATTGGAGATTGTCAAACCTCGCAGTAGACATATACGTGTTGATCACTCACGCTCACCCCGTATCTATGACGTATCATACATATAATTCACGTATCTTCGTTTGCGACGTTGTTGACTTCCTGTCATACTTTATTTTTTCTTCGTAAAATTGCTCAACGTAATTTCTAGAAAATTTCACTGATTTTTTTTCTCTGGCAGCAGAATATTTTGTTTAAACTTAAGTCTATAAAATTGGCTTCTTTTTCTTCGAAAAAAGTAAAATAAGAGCGGAAATTTTTGAAACACCGCAATTGAGATCCGTGGTTTCTAATCCGGACCATCGATATTAAGGTCCAGTTACACGATCAAATTGAGCCATCAAATTGGGCCTCTTATTGGTCGTATCCTCACCTCAGGTCTTTTTCCACCAATCAGAGCTTCAGTTTGATGGCTCAATTTGATCGTGTAACTGAAGCTTTAAGCTTTTTTCCAAGTTTGGTTCAGCCGCGTTCCGCAGCGTCTCGCGTAACGTAAGGGGTAACAAATCTTATCAAGCTACACGCGCGATGAATGGCCAGATTATGCATTTCTGTGTGATATTGAAGTTGTCGATTGATTCTTGATGCACTGATGCATTTATTCAATCACTGTTACAGGGTTACCGGAAGTCACGCGGGAATTCGTCGCAGGCAAGCACGCCGCAACCGTCCACCCCGGCAGGAGCCATCAATGGTGTAGTCGATTCCCCAAATATGATGAGTCTACCTGAACATTCTGTAAGTGTCCACCACCGTTTCTCCTAATAATTCGAATTTAAGGCGACAGGAAGAGATGCACCTACCGTGCCACACTGGAAAAAAAAAATACTTAGGATCTAGAGTCCAGACTCTTGAAAACATTGACAAGAAAAAGGACTCACGATTTGGATTGCATTTTGCAAAAAGGAACCACTAGCATTGCAATGTTGCTAAGATTGTGCAACTTCTTTTGTCTTGGAGGAAAAACCCGATTATCCATTCATAGTTTCTATTTTACTCGCTAAAATCTGTAAATTTAAGACAAAAATTACCATCTAAATTACATAGTTTTTCACGATTTCCGCAATTTTATTGCAAAAGATGAAGTTGCACAATCTTAGCATCATTGCAATGCTAGTGGTTCCTTTTTACAAAATGCAATCCATTTAAGCTTAAATCATAAGGAAATCCGCTCAAATTAAGAGGCTTGGTTCTTGATTTAGGCAAAAATCCGATTGAATCAAGAGTATTTTTTCTTGTCGATGTTTTTAAGAGCCTGGACTCTAGATCCAATGTGCAATGTGTTTTGGAAAAAAATTTCCAGTACATAGAAAAAAAGGTCGAACGTGCGTTCAGGTGTCTCTAAATTTCCTTTGGTAAAATACGAATTTTCAGGGAAATCCGTAAATATGTTTCCTTTTAATTTTTCGGAGAATTTTATTCGCAAACGGATCTAAATTATCTGAAATTTTCAAGAGAAAATATTCATGACACTCTTTCGTAAAACACTTTTTACTGGAGAAAATTTGGCAGCTTTCGAATGTTCACACGGCATTTTTCCTCAGCACGGCAGCACAACCGTGCTATGGAAAAATATCGAAAAGACATTCGGACGTCGCTGCATTTATTATCATCGAATTGCAAATAAAATTCACGAAAGGTACACGGTTGAAAAATGATCGTGAGTTTCCCAGAAAATTTGCGTTTTATCAAAGAAAATTTGCCAAAGTACACTGAAAAAAAAAAAAGATATCAAAATATATTTTGATAGACGCCCTTCAGCTTCTCTCATTCTCATCATTTTTCGCGTATGAGAGGTTAAACCATCATAACATATTTAATCTTCATTCCTGTCTGCATTGTCACTGAGTATTTGGGCATTTAATAATACAGCTCCTTAGTTTAGATACGGTTAGAATGAATATCTCGCTCTATCCGAACTCGTATAAATTGTCTGTATCTTAAGTGGATTCGCTAGTAAGTTGTGTTACGAAATCGAGGCACCAATGATTTTCACTTTCGCGTGGATTGCGTGTGGAGTGTGTGTCTCAAGGATTTATGAATTGAAGCATTGAACTTCCAGGGCACTCCAGTTGAACGAATGCCAATGATAACCACGATATTTGTGCACGCTCTACTCTTAACCGCACGCTCATTCCAAACAGATCTCGTAGAAATTCCCCAGGGACAACCGGCATTTACATTCCGCAATTTGGAACCTCTATTTTTGGCTCCTTTTAGAAACGACGTTTGTGTCATTAACAGGGTGTCTACAAGTTCGGAATTTCTGGAAAGTCCGGAAATAGTACTGATCTTTTAAGGGCGATCCGAAAGTACGGAAAAAGTGCGGAAGAAGGTTCGGATTTTTTTAATTTTGTCGCAATTTGAGCGAGAAATTCAAAATTTTGAAATTTGAATTTCGTCAAATGGAGGTACTGAAAAAGTACTGAATTTTTCTGTTAAGGAGGTACTGACTTTTTCGGGAATGCACTGAAAAAGTACTGTAAAAATACTGACTTTTGGCCAGCCTGTTCTAGTAGACACCCGGATTAATTTCCTCGTGCAGAAGAGGACTTTTAAGGATGAACATTCCTCATTGGAAAATGAAGTTTGAACATCGCGCATTGTCTGTTCAACATTTTCATTTTAGTCATTCCGGTCCATTCTAGCCATTCCTCGCAATCGATGTGAACGTAGTCTTTTTCCGGTTTGTGACACTGTGGACGCCGAAAATACGGGAGCTAATCAGAAACGGATTCCCCATGTCTCGACTCTTAGTATTGAGGGACTATAACCGTGACCTGCCGCAATGAGGAAGGTCCCCCACGTGGGACTTGATGGCGGGACGATGAAAAGCGACCCTCCTCCCGTTTGTAGGTCGAGACGCGAGACGCGTGGATAGACGATAACTCCATTCATAAGTCGGGGTTAAAAATAATAAAGGACCCAGACTGATACTCCACGGGAGGGGGTTGCAGAGGGTCGTAGACGTAGGACGAGTTAAGGTTGGCGGCGAAGAAAGTGGGCGGAGCGAGGAAAGCGCGAGGGATGAGGATGGGACGGCCGCGGGCTCGGAGTTAGCGCCAGGCGAGGGTACGGATGAATAAGATTGGGGTTAGCGCCCCGACGACGCACACTGGATCGAGTCGATGGGGGAGCTCGGACAAAATTTGGAAACTTTAAAAGCTTTTAACTCCGTTTATGCAGAAATTTGAGGTTCTGAAAGTGGCTCCATTGGTTTCCTAATGAAATTTTCAGCTAGAAGCGCCAATTTAAGTTGAAAATGTGACGAAAACATGGTGTCTACAATCCCGGAAATAGTACTGATTTTTTAAGGGCGGTCCGGAAGTACTGAGAAAGTGCGAAAATTCCGCAAGAAGGTCCGGGATTTTTTTCATTTTTGTCGCAATTTGAGCGAGAAATTCAAATTTTTGAAATTTTTCCAGTTCGTCGAATGGAGGTACTGAAGAAGTACTGAATTTTTCCTGTTGAGAAGGTACTGAATTTCTGAAGAATGCACTAAAAAAGTACTGTAAAAGCACTGCTTCTTGGAAAGCCTGTTTTAGTAGGCATCCTGGGTTCTAAAAGTGGTTTCATTGGTTCCCTCGTGAAATTTTCACCGAGAAGCACCCCGTTAAGTCGAAAATGTGACAAAATGAACATCAAACTTTGCAGTTTTAGTCAAAAACGTCATGTCCGACTTCTCTGATTGACGCGACCCACTGTGCGACGCTCCGACCCTGCTCAGGGCCGGGGGTGAATGACTCAAAGTGTCAACTCTTTCTTTTCCGGATCCCTCTCTCAAGCGCCCTCTCTACTCTTTGTTTACTCTCCCTACCCTAACATACGTAAAGAAACGTATCACACGGCTTAGTGTGTCTCAAGTGGTGTTTCAGGGTATCTAGCGACCGGGAAAACAGGGAAATGTCAAGGAATCCGCAAAAATTTGGCAAGTCGGGAAATTTTATTTTGCGAGCAATTTTCGTGTCAGGGAAACGTCAGGGAACTGGAAAAACGCAGATAGTCTAGGCACCATATATTCTGCTCTATTTATCACATTATATTTATAATACATTAAAAAATTATCACTTATACGTCGGTCTAATAAGTTTAACCCTGCCGAAAAATTAGGAATATTTGTCCTTCTTGTCGTAGGGAAATTTCGGGAAATTATTTTTTTCGTTTGTCAGGGAATTTTAATTTTCCCCCGGTTTTTTGTCCTTTTTTGCGAGGAATTTTTTTTTGTGGAAAATTGCTAGATGCCCTGTATTTTTATTTGAAGTATGATGATAGATGACACTCCACGGGATAAAGCTAGGAGAAGGGACTTTAATCCACAAAAACTCAAATATATGCTAGAGTGTAGAGGGTTGTTCTATTTTACACACATTTTAGCGTAGAAAACGCTGAAAATTTCAAATTCGTAGGGAGTGAAAGCGGTTCGAAGTGTATAGTTTTCACCGGATTCATTCGAAGTTCCTTCATTTCGTCGTATATGCAATTTGATCTCCGGAGAGTTAAAATAGTTGCTCGAGGTCGATAGTTGCGGCGCGACGTCTGAGGAGTTGTAGACCTGACCATGTATATTATCTCGTGATCATTTACTCGCGTACCAGTTCGTCATATATTCTTTATTTTTATCGAAGCTCGGAAAATTATGATCTCATTTTGATGAAATTTGTAAAGCCGTTTCAGAATTTACGGTTACAATTTTGACAACACTGAATATTGAAGAATATTTATGCTTGTGAAAAATGAGTGGGAAACCAAAAGGTCTGTCTCAGTAGTTGAAGGCTCCTGTGCATGATCAAAATTTAGTGATATTTTTGCGTTTTCGGGAAAAGTTCACCAGCTAAGTACAGGATCTGAGAGGAGGTCTACATTAGTTTCGCGAGACTGAAAACATTGAGGCATGAATTAATATTTTCCATATGTAAATCAACAAAAAAATTGTCATTACCTATATTCCTGCGAAATTATGATATCATCCCCCGCCCATTTTGCCAACTCGTACAGAATTTCGTCGCAGAAACTATTAAAAATTCTGTGAAACTGTAAAAAATTCACGACCCATAAAAGAAGGTCGTCATCCAGAAATTTTTGGAAATCAAGGAACATTATCGACCCCTGATTTGAAGCAGATAGTTTGTTCACTAGGTAGTTAGTTTGTTTAAGGGTGTCATCTAGTGTTTTGCATAAGCTAAACTTGATTTTGTTCCATTCAATAACTATGACTTTTCTCATTCGCAGTGTTGATTTTGTGTTACAGGTCTCATCAGTTAGAGCAGATGTCAAGATAGAATCTGGAGTACCTGTTACAGATCCGTCACTCACGCCAGGCCTGGTAAGCAGCACATGCTCCAAACCATCAATTTTACTGAACAAGATCAAATTTTTTAGCGACAATGCTGCGGTAACTTTTATGGAATAAAACCTCTGGAAAATAAAAAAGCATTCAGTTACAAGGATATTATTACTTTTTTTTGGGACAAGTTATGTATCATGTTAAGTGCTCGGTTGGAAGCAAGCACTTTTCGCATACAACTCTCCATTAGAATTCTAGAATATTAGAAAATTGCTAGTGGCTAAACAGTAAAGCTGAATTTTTCAAGATGATGGAAAAGTGCCCTACATTTTTAGGAAAAATAGCTCATAATACCATTTTTAATGCATTTAATATCAATTGGCGGAGAAAATATATACCTAACAGCAGTTTTTCAATATCCAGGTGTCCAAAGAAGAACAGCATATTTTTTATTATATCCAAACATCACTCAATACTTTCTATTTTATTCAGAATTTACAAGAATTCGTCTCCTCTGATGCTACGTACTCTGGTTAAAATTTTTAGCGCTCTTCTCAAAAAATTTTCATCTGTCAATTACAGGGGTCGAGTTTCATATGGGAAGAAAGTAAGAAATCTTTTCCACTTTACTTAGAACTCTTTGACTGAAGAAATTTACAATTTTTACTGTAAAACCCTGCTGACAGCCTAGCGCTTCTCTAATCCATACATATTAGAGCTTTCTGCCTGCTTTTAACTTAGTGGCACAGTTATCATTATAATTTCTTCCTAGCCCTCTCAATATACATTTTTATATACTTCACAAAATAATTTTTATTTCAGACCATGCCATTCTATGGGACTGGTGTTCAGTCAACAAATATTGTAGATACCAGTAGTTTTGTTCCACCAATCAGAGAACATAGGTTTCCTAATGCTGTTTGGCAACAAACTTCAGTGCCAGCTCCTGATCCAAGTAATCCAGGTAAGTACACTTGTTTCCAATAATTTTCATCAGTTAATCAATTCCTATGTACGCTTTAGTCCTGCATTATCATACCAAACAAACGATAGCGAGTTTGAGAGTTGAGACGTTGAGAGTATGACTCATAAGAAACATTTTGTAGGTTTCAATTTTATTCATTAGTTTTGAAGCTATGGCAATAAGGCACTTTTGAGACAGCCCTCTTGTTTTCCTCATCCATGAAGTAAAACCTTTTATGGTGATTGGATTCCTCTGTTTTCCTTTCTTTCAGAGCACCAGTTGAGTATAGATAGTGAAAATGAATATCATACCTCTTATGTACGGAAAATGATGTGACTTTAAGAATGAATTCTTTACCAAATTAGAAAAAATCTGATATTATCAATTCTAAATGTAGGTAGTTATTATATTTTTAAGTTGGATAATTAACTTTTATTCACATTCTTTCCTTTCTAGGTGGCTGGACACCTCAAGGGCAGTTCATACAACAGTTACCTCCTCCTCCAACGCTGGATTACCATCCAACTCAATATTCTTATCACCAAAGTTCACCAGGTAAATAAAACAGAATGGTAACCTTGCTTTTAGAATATTGCTCCTTTCTGAGAGTGTATCCCAGATGAAGGCACTTAATTTTAT